ATAAAATTGATTATTCTCCTCTTCAAATAGAAAACTGGCTTCTCAATTTTACTGAATTTGCATTTATCAATTTTGTGGCCCGTTAAGTTGGATGCGCACGCAACCTTGAGAAAACGATCTATAACAATCATGGATCATACAATTATTGATGACATGGTAGTTTTAAACAACAATTTCTTTTAGAATTTCAGTTGTAGTCCTTGGATGATCTACATAATTCTTTAAATATATGCATTAATACACTCGTGTATTTCTCTAAAGGGCTTAATATTCACCGAGACTCAAATCAACAGCCTACGACAAATCAACGCTCTTTGTTCACTACGAAAACTGGATTTTCTGACCATTAACAACGAGGGGAACCCAGTCACTAAATATACGTTATGGAAGCATTATACTCTGTTCAGGCTGTCGCATTTCTCTCTTAGCAAGATCAATGACATCGAAGTGAGTATTGTTTCCTTGACTAATATTGGGTTGAGGAGAGGAGAGGAAAGGAGAGGAGAGGAGAGGAGAGGATGAGAAAGAGAACGAGGAAAAGGACTAAGAAGGGAAAATGAAAGCTAATGAAAAGGCTAAAAGGAAAAACGAAAGGAAAGAGAAAATCGAAGTTTTCTATCCTTGCCGAAGAAAATAGCTAGACATTTTTGATGCAAATATCATTTATCTGTTTTCCATATCTTCAGATAACAGCGGAAGATACCGTAATAGCCGAGAAGCTATTTGGCAGTCTTGCTCATCTTACAACTTCTCAATTACCTCAATCAAGACTTCTGTCTCTTTTAGGGGATTCAAGGTACACTAAACATATCTACTTCTGTTACATTCTTTCCACGTTCTTTCTTTCTTTCTTTCTTTCTTTCTTTCTTTCTTTCTCTTTTTTATTTATTTTTGATGAACCTCTTAGGGTGTAATGTTTCATGACATGTGTCATTCCCTAGAGTATTATTTCTTTGTTTAACGGTTGCGCATGATAAGACACATGAATATGGGTACAACCAAAGCAAAGAATCTTATTTTCATGAGAATGACACGTGGTTAGAAATAGGATATCATTACGCCCAAGCTAAAGAGGTCTTTTATAGTTTTGCTTTATATTTTCACAGAAGGAAAAATACTGACGAAAAGACAAAGAAATCAGAGGGAAAACATGAAAGGTTTGATGGTTTGATTTTATTATATTCACTTTCCCATTTCATTTTTCTTTTAGTTCTCTTAATTCTATTTATTCTATTAGTCTGTATACATATTTATTTAGTCAAATTCAACTAGTAGTCTATCTTGAATGCTGCGTCCTGATTGGATGAACTACAGCTTGGCTATAAGTTATAGCTTACTAATGGCAAAAAGTGCTGGCTCTGAAAACCAAGACATTAAATTTAACTTTAATTCAAAACTTGTTTGCATTTATATATTTAACCGACTAGAGTGCAAATAATATACCCGTGAAATAATTAGGATGAAATAGGAGATAGTTAGCGCTTAATTAGACAAGACATAGGAATTCAGTGAGATTTGACAAGGGCACGGGCGTTTACTAGAGTAACAACTCAATACGCAAATGAATAGATACGAAAATGCGAACTCGTAAAGTTATTCTTCGATTGCACGTTACGTCATCGCGGCCATGTTGGTGCCACCATCGTTAACGGCACCACAATGGCCGCCATGCTTTTGTCTTTTGACTCTCTTGGGAATGCTTGCAACCCATCAATACAAAGGAAAAGCATTATCTGTTTTCACTTCCATTTTTCCATCTTTTTATTCCACTGTTCATTCTCCTTTTCCCTTTTCCCTCCCAAGGACGTCTTCAGCTGAGTCAGTCGGTAGAGCTGGACTACAGTACTGGTCGTCTGATATTTACACGAAGAAAAAAGAGGTATTGAAAGCATGCAAATAAATATTCCTTCCTACCAAGCATGCTGTACCAAAGGTAACGAAATTGCATCAAATGTATAACCCATTTTATATTATTAATTCCTAATGATCTAGGAGGCAGACGCGAGGAAAGCATTCGCCCATAACTACATGAAAGAGATAGTAAACGAAACGTTAATAATCGAGCAAAAACGAAAACGTCTGGACAAAATACTACCGACTCTTTTTAACGAACTTGTTGAAGAAGCCTTCGATGATGTGGTCAATATGGACTCACAAATGGTTCAGTCACTTGAAAAGATAAAACAGAACAAATAACCGGAGATCAGCTTAATAGGCCCTTTGCGGTTAACGGTCACGTGTCTGTATTGGTGAGCAAATGTTTTTATTTTATTTTAAATTGGTGATTATTTTTAGCTACTTGTAAAGAACTGAATGAAACGATGTGTAAACAGTGTGTTCGGAAATTCTGTTTTATTACGATCTCTGGAAACAGGTTGTAGAAAGTTTGTTTGCTCACCAGTATATTTCACCCATAGGAATCAAGATGTTCATTCATTTGCTCTCAGTGAATTAATCAGCACGTGATTACTGAGCTGCAAAGGGCCTATTAATACTGGTTCGTCGTTTCATACAGTGACAACTTGTGGTGGATGTAACCTTGGTTTGGATAGACGAGTATGGGGAAACAACACAGATATAAGACAAACGTGGTTGACAGGCACCGATTTTTAGCTATTAGGAAAAGCAGCTACCATTCTTCAAGATCCTTTCTAAATACTTTCCTTAAAAGAGATTAAAACCACCTTCATATTCAACAACTCCTCTGCTCTCATCCATTCCTGAACAGCCGTTGTACTGTGGTTGTCGACCAGTAACCACGAAACCCCATTCAACTATTAGAAAAAGCATACTAACATTCTTCAGGATACTCCCTAAATATTTTCCAGAGACTGAAGAGATTACCTTCACATTCAACAAACTCCGGTGTCGTTATCTCCCTTAACAGTCATGGTTGTTTTGTAGTGGACTAACGACTGTGTCTTCATCTTCCTGGACACCCGTGGTATTTGGTTTGTTTTGGTGCATAGAACGCGAATTGGCATTGAACCTTCCCCCTTTGACGCCTTGTTTCCCAGTATCTGACCACTCCCTAAATCTCCGGTCGTTCTGGTTCCTAGGAACTCGGGGAAGACGTTGAATAACATTATTTAACAAAATAGATCACTATTGCTTTGGATGGATGATGTATTTTTTTGATATACATACACGATACATACACAATACACGTTATGAGCACATGAATAATATATATTATAATCTCACTCATATCAAAGATGTTTTTATATAATAAAGTTTAAATCTTTGAAGCCCTACTTCATTATTGTTTTCCCTACATAAATTGCGCATTTTCTAATCAATAGGGCGTTTGCATGTAATAGATCAAAAACGAGTGCGAGTGTTTGATCAGGACATCCAAACACCGAGAAGATATATATATTGAACGACAGCCATCATTTCCTGTGAACAAAGTAATAGTTTGCATGATGGCGTCATTTGATTCCCACTACCATAATGCTTCGCGAATTTTCTTTCTTATTTAAATTTGTAAGAAGTCAATGACGCCATGCAAACGTCCTATTAGTACTTTGTTCACAGGAAATGATGGTTGTCGTTCAATATATATATCTTCTCGGTGTTTGGATGCCCTGATCAAACACTCGTAACAGCCGTTGAACTTTTTATCTTTTTTCAAAGCCTACTTGACTCACGATTGTGTAATTCTAGAACAATACTAAGTAGTAGTGGATTTGCTAATTCTATCAATCCTGAAGATGAGAATTCGTTTCACCTTTGAAGAACGCTCATTCTGAGATAAACATCGGCAAGGTTACATGTAAAATCAAATTAGCTTTAATTTGCCGCAATTCACTTTTAGAGTGGTTTTCAAAAACCAGTGAAATACACTTTAGCGTATTAYACTTTAATACACTTTATTGTCCGCATTTTCTTTTGATTTTCTTTTGTGTTTTCGGTGCATTACAATTTATTACACCTTAGTTATTACACTCTGTTTCACGGGTTTTTGAAAACCACTAGAGGCACTTGAGGCGTATTATAAGATTTATCTTTATCCACTTTATTGTTTCAACCAAATTCCAGATGGTTCGAGGAGTTCAATATTAGCCATTCCGGGGTCGAGGAAAAAACTGGATCGAATTGGCATTGTAGTGCATTGTGGGACTGTTTTAGGGGACAGGCCGTAAGTTAGATTGTGAGGGCCGTAAGTTAGATAACTCTCTGGGTTAATACGTTACCCTCTTTAAATAAAGTTTATTATCGTATTGTATTGTATCGTATTGTACATATTTCCAAGATGCGTCTAATTTGTACTGCAATGACCCTTTCAACTAGGATTCCTCTTGTGATGAGTTTATTAGCTTGAGCAGGATTTTAAGGAATAGTCCATGCTTAGCGTGCGTATATCCAGTTCTGGATGCACGCGGGGGGTTGCTAAGCACGAAAGAAGCGTTAGGGTCGCACAAAGCGTAGCCGAGTGAAATTCTAGCTTGAGTGCTTAAGCAACCTCTCAAGTGCATCCAGAACTGGATATACACACAACTAAGCATTGTCCTTTGCTTTTATAACATAGCAAAAGCGTAAAAAAATGTAGGTTAATCTGTCAAAAAACATTCAAATTTTGTTCTAACGAAATCTTCATTACATAGCGTGCTTTACTCGATCACGTCGGCGTGCACYATACATTTCTGGATGCACGATCGCGCACGCTATTTAACCAATCAGAGCGTGCGTTATATCATGGCTATGTTATAATTCACTTTTGTTATTGGTTGATTTTCCAATAAGTATGCGTTTGTAATATTGATTGATTGCCAACCAAATACATGCTGGCACATTTTCCACTCGTCTTCATAATTTATCAACCTCTGACATTTCACTTCATTAGTGAAATACAAGCTACTAAAAATCTCCATGATGCCACCTTAATCTAACGGTTTAATTAAGAATATCAGGAATTCATTAGTCTCTAACTGGACTAATCCCTTTAGGGACATTCAACATAACTAGCGGCATCCACTTCACCTTCTAAAGTAGTCTCAAACATCTAATGGTGTGTTCCATAGTTCATCGTCAAGATTATAGAATAGTTGGATAAACTCCATTTGTCTAGACGCGCCCTGCCCTTCTACGTCAGACTACGCCCACTTTTGACCTCCTTGCATTTGAAATTAATTCTCTATATAAATAACATCTAACAAAAGCAGATTTTTCTAATTTAGATAGTACAGCCATCATATCTGATGGCATTTTTTGATTCCTAGGTGTTCTGTAAAAGTTTATATTGATTTCTTTATAAGTACTTTCCTATAACCCTTGGCATCTGTCTCTTTTTGGTTCTTGCGCATGTTTGCAAGGGTTATAAGCTTGGTCTGCCTTGCAATACTCCTATAGTCATATCAAACTATTGCTGGCACGCACTTTATTTGTTGGGCGCGTCACTTTAGTCCTAGATTGACCCAACTTTCATTCTTATCTTCCATCTCCTTTTTTTTCTATTCATTTGTCTAACCTCTCCCTTTTTTTGGTTGCGTCACGCTTGTCCTAGATTGACTCTACTTTCATCTTTATCTTCATTCTCCTATTCTCCAATTCTCTATTCATTTGTTTAACCTCGCATATTTCTCAGTAGCGTCACGCTAGTCCTAGATTGACCCACTTTCATTCTTATCTTCTATCTCCGTTTTTTCTATCCATTTGTCTAACCTCGCACATTTTTTGGTCGCGTCACGCCCTGTCCTAGATTGACTCTACTTTCATCCTTATCTTCAGTCTCCTATTCTCCGTTTCTCTATTCACTAGTCTAAGCCCATTTATGGTCACCATGTGTTTTACAATAATCAATCGTCTATCTCCGTTGACACTTACCCATCGTTAACCCTCAGATAAGAGATTTCTAGATTAATTTTTTGTAACAGACATCTACCAACGAAATATTTCAAGCGTCTGTAGTCTTTTGTAATGCAAACGCTTGAGCGAGAATAAATAGCTCTGAAACCCAGGGTAGATACCATGCGGAGAAAGATATTTACTTAGCATTGTGATAATTCTTTTGCTAGAGTGCATACTATAAACCCGTGAATTTTTTGTAAGAAATTGCGCAGTTTTACGCAAATTAGTAAGTTCAGTAGATCTACAAAACTTTGCACTTTTTTGTGCAATTTTGTTAGTTTTTCACGGATATATTGTATGCACTCTAACAAATGTCAAGTATCTAACTTAGTTATGACCCTGAATACGAAGTATATCAGCAATGTGTCTAGAACTCTCCATACTATTTCAGAGATTTGTTAGGGCGCAGTCAAGACATGCAGGGTTTAAAAATCCAATGTATCGTAATGCGCGCGTCGAAAAAGTCATGCATTCAGCTCAGTTTTGCACTCTTTCTTATTTACTCGGATTCGAAACGTTTTGAAAAACCCTTTTATATCATTTGCTTCAAGTATTATATATCCCATTTCATTTTTCTATACGCAGTTTCTTAGACTGATTCCATAAGTCGTAGTTTTCGCTCCTTTGTTCCTGGTGGTCGCAAAAAATATCGACAGAGAGCGATCGTGCCGACAGACTTATGGGATCAGTCTAACAGTTTCTATAAAGGCGGCCTGATATCTTCGGATTGTGATGTGGTGGCAGCGTTGGGGGACAGGGAGGGAAACTAATGTATATTGAAGTCAGTCAATACGAAATGGACTAATACCATTTTTTATCTGACCTCTATCCGAACGCCTTCCAATCATGGCGTCAATTCAAAGGAGATTTTCGTTAATAAAATAGACTGTCGCAGAGGCTACACCTTTTGGCTCACAGTCAGTTGAATGTGCCGTTACTCCAACTTACCACCTCTGGGAGAGAGGGGTCAGAAACGTTTGTACACTACTCAGAGACTGAAGAAAAATACATTTGAGTCGACCATATAGCACCTTACATCTCGTCACCTTAGGTTGAAAACTAGAGATCTTACTTTAGTTGTCTTTTAACTAGTTAATTAATTAACCTAGACATGTCAAAACGCTTGAAAGAAAAATATTACATTTAATTAGTTTATGGTAATGAGGTATTTCAAGGTGGTGCAAGCTAGCACTTCCGGTCAGGGCCTTAAAAGATTCACAATTGACTTCCGGTTTCCGATCTTTTTAATGAGATTCTTTGTTATCCTTGATATGTTTGGTTAGTGTCTGAACGATGAATGATATCTCGATAAACTGTAAAACTATTACTAATTCTAAAACTGCTATTTATTTCTTGTATTTCAAAAACAATGCCGTGAAATTGCGCGCATCAAAATTTCAAAATTGAATCCGAGGATAGTGTTATTTGCCTTTTTTTTTTCGTCTTTATTTTTTATTATTTTATTTTATTTTATTTTTTTCTTTGTTTTGTTTCTTTTCGGCAAATATATACTTTACAAAATGTTTTTTGTCATGTATTATAATCTTAGGATAGGATCCAAAACGATGACGACCAATCCTTTGAGCTCTCAACTGCGCTGGACCCTTAGAACGAAGTCGTCTCAAATTTCATCATAATAAAGCAGGGGTCACCAAAGGTGTGACATTTCTACATGATATTCGTTCATTTTCTCTGAATGCCAAGAATCTCTGTTTCTCCCGCACCACGATCAGATGACTGGGACATTGTTGGGCTGTATTGAGAATGGCTGTGCGTTAAGATTCGTTTGAGGATTTCTTTATCCATAACTGTGTCTCTAAATGGTAACTCTTGATTATCCTTGATTAAAACGCGCACATCGAACATCGAACACCGAATACTTGGATTTATCGCTACGTATTCAAACTGTCTTCGATCGCAGCTTTGCCAGAATGGATAATTTCTTCTCGACGCTGGCTCCAAAGAGGAACAGCCTGTGTTTATTATGGTAAACTTGTGCGAACTTTATTCAATTACATTCCGTCTGATGCCCGCTCTCTCCTTACTCAACCATGGTAATGTATCTTTCCTGTATGTTTTTCTAGGGGGATATTATTGGCCGTCATAGCTGTGGTTATTTGTGAGGAAACTCATGCAGACTCGCAGTTGAAGGTAAGCTAGACATTTTTTTTTCACCACGTGGGTGTAAAGATTTTATCCGATGTATCAAATCGGCTCATTCTGAACCAACGCGCATGGATATGGGGTCTTCATCAGTTTTCTCTTAAGGAACATATCCTAGTGTTTTATTGCTCTCCAGCGTCGTAACTATTCACTACAGTCGTAGATATTTTCCTAATCAAAATACTTGAATGAAATCAAACGCAGCACGCCATAATCCGTCTATATTACAACTAAACGTTTGCGTGAGTGCGTTTACACTTTGTTATCTACTCTATACTCTGTGTGATAGTCGAGAAATCAGAAACAGAGTCCTCAACTAGCTCTTCAGGAACCAATCGTTACAAAATGAACATATATTTTTGATTAGTGAAAGGGTGGATTATGCTAAAATGTTGCGATTCATGACTTCGTTTGACATTGTAAAAAATATATATTTACTTATGGTTGATTATTCGATAAATACTCCAAGCTCTAATTGATTTTGAGACTTGATCAGCAATTCGAAACTTAGAACCATTCGCTGAAGCCTGTTTGTGAAACAACTACACAGTTTATGTGATCCGTAAGTTCACAACTAGATCGCTAGCATCCGCAAAGGTCAACTTCTTCCTTCCAGTTATCCTTGGCTTCTTAAAAGTAGGAGTGTAGTCACTCCGGAATCTCACCGCCTCGTGATTAATCAATGATAAAGCAAATTGCGCGCGGTATGTAAATATCTACACTCAAGTGAGTAGTTCTCTAGCGACTCAAACTGAGCGCCAAAACATTCCACTTGCGTTACCTTAAATACAATGTAAACATCGGGTCCAAGGTATTGATATTCCTTTGTTGACATTCAATTAGAATTTTAGACCAAAAGACAGGAAAGAGTTTATGTGACCCCGACTGTATGACATTTTTTTCATGTCTGCAATCTTTCCACAGCGATAATTTGTTCACTCAAGTACACAAGTATTTAGATGTTTTCTATAGATTAAAATTTTTTGGACTTCGAAGTAACATCACTATATATCTGCGCACAAACATGACTAATAATCAAAGCATCTTAGAAAATATATTTGAAGAAAAAAGGGGTAATCGTAATGCGCGCGTCGCTCTAGAACATGATGGCGGTGTAAGGGTATTTAACTCTGAATGTCATCAACGAATTTGAATCAATATGCTTGTGGATTGTCTAGAAGGGAATGACCTATGACTGCATAAGTCAAGAGTCTTATTTTCTTGACGTGTGGAAAATCATTCAATTTTAGATGCGCTGCTATTTTTAGATACGTTTTTTTGTTTGTATAGTTTTTGCTGTTTTGTTTTGTGTTTTTTTATTTCAGTTTGAAAATTGTTCTTATTACTTTAACTAGATAATACAACAGTAATTACTTTAAAGTATGCTTAATTACGAGATAAGAGAAAATTAAAATCGCATTATTATGTTAGCGCTGAACCACGAACTAGAGGAACCATTTCTGTTTGCCGGACTCTTTCTAGTTCGTCCTAGATATATATATCGGACAAGTGCAATCTTTTTTCAGTGCAACTCTCTTTAGTCTAGTCAGGTTGCTGAGGAAACCACGCGTACAAGTATCTTTACATCACATGATATCCCTTGATTATCAAATTATAAGTGGACTACATTGTATAAGTTGCAAAGACCATTTCGTACGGTGTCGCTGACTATTATTTAACTACTGTTGCGCGTTAAAAGTTAACGCGCAATCTAGGTAATTAATTCAAAATTAAATTGCACCGAGGTTTCCTGTTAAGAAATAGAGGRCAAAAGTGTGACGCGGTTATGGATTTTTCGCCAAATCACAGCGCGCGTTACACTGTTTACAGAAACATAAGTGCAATAGAGAATAGAAAAGAGGATAGGGAAAAAGCGCGCCAAAAATACTGCGCTGTTTCCGACAATAATTTCAATTCTTGTGACAATGACCGTTTTCTCTTTTAATTCGATTTCCTAATCGTTTTAAACCTCTTGAATCCGAAGTTCCCACTCGAGGTTCACTCAGTGCGTGTCACAAATCGTACATTTGCTGCGATTACTAAACAGGCATCCTTGTCTAGTCGACATACGTTAGAGCAATCCAATACCTTTTGATTTTCTTAATTTGTCTAAGCTGAACCCAATCCAAGACTAAGTATTTCAAATATTTATTCAGACTCATGTTTTCTTGGAATAGGTTTAGTTTATATTATGTCTCACGCGTATTGATTTTAGTTTCTTTCAAGATATATCTTTTGATTTCATGATTGAAAGATCCTTATGAAGACTTTGACGAAAAGTTGGCCAAATCGACACTTGAAGACGGGAAGCAAAATAAGGTCTAGACGAGAATAATCCGGAATAAATTCACGGAAAGATAAGCCAAATAATATCTTAGTTTAGTCGAGAAAAATCTCAAAGCTCAAGTTGGAAAGCTAAAACTAATATCAAGTTTTTATTGATGCTAGCCTCGGAAAATGAGAATCTATAGTGAATATGGTTATAATGGTTTATGGTTTAAGTTTGTGGTCTATGAGGCCAGGGCATAGATGTATGAGATTCTGATGTGATTTTTATCGATTGTTTAGTAAAAACAAGACACCCTGTGTTTTAAGGTTACACATCGCCTCAAGCGTTTTTTACACTTTTGGCTTATCGCCTTATCCATGTTCATAATGGCAATAGATTTACTTATGGCGTTACTTTAACCATGGAATTCAGGATTTCCTGGTAAAACGTGTTAAATAGGCAATGGAAAACACGAAAATACGACAAATGAACTCGACGCGATTAATGATATGATGTTCTAAAACCAGATTTTGTGCAGACGGCGTATTGATCTGTACTGATCTCGTGCGCAATGTTTGGTTAGGTCGCCGAATCATGCCTGATGTAGTAATTTTTGAGGGGAAAGGGGGGGAGGGGAGGTGGGGGGGAGGTAGAGGAAGGACGATCAAAATACGGATTGTAGGCTATTCGCGTAAAATCATTGGCATCGTGTATGACATAAGTACGAGACAAACCACTGAATAAGTTAGTTGTATTTCTTGTAACTAGAGATGCAGGAACTCGCTGCTTTATGGGCTGGATTTAGTTATGAGTGAGCGCAAAACGATAGTCATCCCAAGTCTTGACACGTAACATAGCTCGACATGCAACAAGTGTTTAATGGAAATCTAACCACTTTAGGAGACATATTTCTTTAATTTAAGGTCAATAACGTGTTATCATTAGGTCAAAATTTATCTAAAAAATTTATAGCGTTTTATTTTTTTCCGATAGTGGTTTGTGCGGAAAGTACAAAAGGCTTGATTAACATGCTTGTGTATCCCTAGAAAAGGGAGGCTTGTATTTTATGCTACTACAGCTATGTTTCTTTACGTCATTCCACTTGAATATTTTTTCATTATTTTAAAACTGTCATAACTTTTCATGCTCGCTTCGGCTATTACCCTACTGTGTGGTAAGTGGTCGCATATGGGAGAGTCACTTCTAGATAGATGGTCGTATACGAGAGGTAGTATTTCTTGAAGATGGTCGTGTACGAGGGTTAGTATTTCTTTAATATGGTAAGTTACTGTGTGGTAAGTGGTCGCATATGGGAGAGTCACTTCTAGATAGATGGTCGTATACGAGAGGTAGTATTTCTTGAAGATGGTCGTATACGAGAGGTAGCATTTCTTGAAGATGGTCGTATACGAGGGTTAGTATTTCTTTAATATGGTAAGTTACTGTGTGGTAGGTGGTCGCATATGGGAGAGTCACTTCTAGATAGGTGGTCGTATACGAGAGGTAGTATTTCTTGAAGATGGTCGTATACGAGAGGTAGTATTTCTTTAATATGGTCGTATACGAGAGATGGTCGCATACGAGAGGTGAGGTGACATTTCCAGGTTTCAACATGATCGTATGCGTGAGTTGGTGTTTCCAGGCCAGATGATCGGATAAAGGAGTTCGTTTCTACCGATATAAGTTGTATATCCAACTACGCTATTCAATATGACAATCGTTTCGTAGCAAAGCAAGAATTCAGCTCAGTAATAGTCATTAGCCAAAGCCTCTTAGCAGATAATCCCTTGCTTACAGACAAGAATTCTCTGATCACTCCAGTAATGATTACCTCTTCTTTACGTATATCATAATTACTATTCTTTACTCATTGCCTGAGCAAACAAATATCGATCGATGAATTGATAATACAGCTATTTTTGCGCAATGATTTAAGCAAATAGATATAAATTAATTTACTCGTATAGATTCTTTTCAGCACATGGAGCTCAATTTGGAGGACATAACAATAGATTTCCAATTCTCAGGATATTGAAATTCTTTTGTTTTGTCCTCCAAATTGAGCTCCTTTGACGTCACATGCAAGGGGTTTATTGGTTTGACTTGGTTCAGATGTTATTCGCTATATAGTATTCAGTATTCACAAGACATTTTCTTGAAGTAAGTGCACATATAGCATTGCTAAATAGCATAACGGTCAAGTACTAGGTTATCGCCAGGAAGCGACCAGGTAGTCCCTGAGATAATATTATTCGTAACAATTTTTTTTACGTCAATCAAAATAGCAATGCACACTTAATAAAATAATGATTTCCCACTAAAAGAACAACAACATTTTTCATAAGAAAAACTAGTCACAAGAAGCTACGAGTGAAGACTGTTTGTAGCACCTCAGGCAACAGACTACAAGGGCTGGTTGTCTTTTTTTATTCTACTGGAAGGTGTATTTTTTCAAAGATATGTACAAAAATAATTTATTAGTTCTTTTGCCGCAAAATGGAGTCATTGTAAGAAGAAACAGGATTGCCAAGTGTTAGGGTTTTCTGTGATGCATGCGCAATAATTGCACAGTAGAGTATCAATAGCGCAAGCATAGAAAAATAATTCAATGTTCAATTTCTAAGTAAGATTTTGTTTTTGTCTTAGTGTGAGTTACGCCTGTGATACTCATTAACCAAATCAGCTTAAGCGCAATTAAATCTTAGAGAAGATTAAAGAAAAGCGACCGAGAAAAAAAAAAAGGGTGGAAAGACCTTACATTGAAAACCAACTTGACAAAAGATTAACATCAGCAATCGACCCTAAATGCCTATCAGCTTTTTAACTACGTTTGATGTGCTCCTCTTGTCCACCCAATGACCTGATCTTTGTTAAGGATTCATGTACCACACGGTACTTACTTAGTGAGGCCAACCGATCATTATTTAATCATGTTCTCTCTCACCAGCCGCGTGCCGCACATAATAAAGTAAACTGTTGACTTCTTACGTTTGCGCAAGAATTGATCACTCTCTAAAGCTTAACTCCTGGTCCACTGAAGGAGACTAAAAATGGAAACGATGACAGGGGATTATAGGTTTTTATTAGGTTATCGTCGTAATCTTCAAAAGGAATGTGGGAATCGTATTTATTTTAAATTAAATTTTGAGGCCAAGTTTTTGGTATCAATTTTCCTCTAATTTAGGAATACAAGGGCATAAGAAATTATGTTTTGAGATTATTTTTCGAATTTGCGCAGTAGATAATCTAAATAAAGAACAAGGGTGACGACTTGACCGAAATAATSGACGCAATTAATCAACAAATCCTTAGTTAATAATGAAAAAAGGCAATTGCGCAACTATTAAAAGCAACATCAATAGTAACTAGCGATGGCAACCCCCACCAACAAACAACAACAACAAAAACAAAAACACATTAAAAAACCCAATGCCATAATCACCACTTATTCTGTATTTTTAGRTAGAAGAGAAGAAAAGCAATTTTGGATTCAGAATAGAACTGTTTAGTAAATGTTCAAAGCCATGTGGAGGAGGTCAGTTTTAACCTTGGATCTTCAGTTATCCTATTTCAGACCACGTGTTATTCTCTTGAGTATCATTCCTTTGTTAAATATACATCCTTGATTACAATCATTAACCTGGATACAACATGTGGTCATTCACTGTTCGGGTTCCATGGAATGTCATGTGATCTGAAAATGTAAAGCATTTCGTCCAGCTGTATTGTCGAGTGAAAACACTTTTTATGGATTTTTTTCCCTTACTTCCACCACGCGTAAACAATGCATCACAGGATTTATGATGTATCCCAATGTATCCCATGATGCATCATGTAGTGGTTGTGACGCACCCCTCACTTTGAGGTAGTTTATTAAAAAGAATTCTTCCTGAAGTAAAACATATATTTTCTTTATATTCGTAGGTACTCAGATAGGTATTTACGTATGTTATAACAAGACAAGTACTCTAGCTGTTAAACCATCGCATTGTCGACATCTAAACCCACCTGGTCGATACCTTAGGGTATGCAACATGCGACCATGTGCCCACAGGTAAATAATGGTTTCATCTTGGTCCTATATCCCCCTCCTTAAAATTCATATAAATCCCGGTTGTACGAAGGGTGGATAGCGCTATCCAATTGATAAACCCTTATCCAGTGGATAAATCGATGCTCTTAACCTATATATTTATCCACTAGATAAGATTTATCCATCGGATAGCGCTATCCACCCTTCGTACAACCGGACCCAGTACTTTTAGTATTGATTCTAAATGAAGTGAATAGTCGAGTGGTGAAATATTTCTCCATTTGAGAGTTGCATTTTAAGTTATAAAGGTTTATACTTCCAATGTGTTAATGGCTGTGACATCATTGAAAGCTTCATTAAATATACGAATTTTAACTGGTTTACACAAACAGTATTTAAAAACCATCCTCATTTTTATCATTATGAAATATTGTACCATTCGACTATTCAGTTCATATAGAATCAATACTGAAAGTAGGGTTAATATGGACTTTAAGATTCATCGAGACCACGTGCTATTTTAAATGAAGAGAGAGAGAGAAAGAGAGAAATGTTTTGATGATCTAAATTTTAGAGAAAGAGCAGCTCCATTACTTTGCAAATAATTTTGTCGACATATTTTTATTGCTCTATTTTTTTATTATCAAGCTGGCACACGGGGAAATGGAGTCCCTGTTCTACCTCTTGTGGTGAAGGAATGAAAAAACGACATGTAGAATGCATCAACCGACACAACGTTAAAGTCTCGAGTCTGAAATGCGCGAGGATGAAAGTTCCGCGATGGAAACGTAAATGCGGTTTAGCTGACTGTAAACCTGAATTCCACGTTGGATCATGGTCAAAGGTATATACTACGACTAGTTGATGCTACTCGAGTACTACTATCCTTCCCTCCTTCCCTCCTTCCCTCCTTCCCTCCTTCCCTCCTTCCCTCCTTCCCTCC